AAAAAAGATTCCGTACTGGATATTTGGCAGAAAACAACAAAATTCTGTAAAGCAATTATCCTCAGTTAAAAAAGGATTCAAAATTGGGACTTCCCCGGTGGTCTAGTAGTTAAGAATCCATCTTCCAATGCAGGGGACACAGGTTCGATCTACAGGACAACTAAACCTGTGCACTGCAACTATAGAAGCCTGTGTGCTGCAACAGCCAAAATATAAAAAATAAAACAAGTATTTACAAAATGGTTTTCAAACCAAGGCAAGAGAGGTTCAACTGTGGGTTTTAGAACAACCCTTCTGGCAGTTGCATAGATGGTGAACCCGAAGGAGACACAGCTGGTTAGCAGCTGGGGTGTTGCAATCATCCATGTGTGAGCTGAAAGGCCCAGCAGACAGGAGAGCAAGAGATAGAAGGACTCTAGGAGTGCCAAGAGGCAGCGCCCTCCTATGTCATCATGAATAGATTCTAATCCTTTCCAGGATGGTAAGTTCAGTTCAGTTCAATCACTCAGTCGTGTCCAACTCTGCAACCCCATAGACTGCAGCACGCCAGGCCTCCCTGTCCATCACCAACTCTTGGAGTTTACTCAAACTCGTGTCCATTGAGTCGGTGATGCCATCCAACCATCTCATCCTCTGTCGTCCCCTTCTCCTCCTGCTTTCAATCTTTTCCAGCATCAGGGTCTTTTCAAATGAGTCAGTTCTTCCCATCAGGTGGCCAAAGTATTGAAATTTCATCTTCAACATCAGTCCTTCCAATGAATATTCAGGACTGATTTCCTTTAGGATAGACTGGTTGGATCTCCTTGCAAGGGACTCTCAAGAGTCTTCTCCAACACCACAGTTCAAAAGCATCAATTCTTCAGCAAGTATAAAATTTCCAGCCCATAGTAAGTGGTTAATAATATGAGCTTTCCCTTCTCCATCACTGTTCCTGGCTGTGCTCTTCCTCCATTCCTCATTCTTCAGAAACCACCCTCTCTTTTGAAAGGCTGACACCTCCTCAGAGGAGAAGTCTTGAGCTTCCCAGATGGGGTTCCTCTTCTGTATGCCTATGGGCATTTACCCAATGACCTTGTATAGGCGTTTTGGGCACCTTGTGATTTTGTGTTTTGCTTCCTCTACTAGACAGTGAGCTCTTTGAGGACTGTGACTCTGTCTTGTTCATTTCCTCTTTGAAGCAATATTTATTGAGCACCTACTATGTGCCAGGCACTGTGCTAGGTACAGGCATACAGCTGCAAACAATGGTCTTGTGTCCCCAGCACCCACAGATGGACTGGAGAGTGAATGAATGGATGAACGAAGGTGCGGCCAATGGGATGGTTGAAGTAGCTGAGACCTAGAAAGCTTAAGTGAGTCATCCTCACCTGTCCAGGGGGGAAGTGACCAACGAGGAGTTGAAGCCTGGACAGTTAAAGAACAGGGAAACCAGCTCTTGACACACGGGGCCTCCATGTCTCATGCTTTCCCGGGATGTTTCTGTGTTCCCAGGATTGGGAACAGGATTACCACCTGTCAGCTGGCATGGCTCTGTCCTCTTCACCTAGTTGGCCGAAGCTGCAGGACCTGTGGCTTTATTTGTTGTGAGTATCAGTGGTTTGTCACCCACACATACTTGTCCCCTTGTTGCCAGGCAAGAAGCCCTGATTTTACCTGTTATCTTTACAGTCTTAACATTTGCAGTCCTAAACTGGGTGCTCAGCCTGTGCAAGGAAATACTTGTAGTGCTTAGTCTCCAGTGGAAGGAAGGAAGAATGTGCCACTGCAAAGCTGTCGACAGGATGGCACCCACTCCTGCCCTCCAGCTGTTTTGCAAGAAGGAGGCACTAGAGCACCGGATTCTTCCAACATGGGAGAAGCAAACATGTGCCCTGCCTTCCTAGAGTACATTTCCTAAATGGAGTGGCCTCCTGCTTCCACACTTTATTCCTGGGTGTTCTTTCAGCCTTTGTCCAATCAAAGCTGTTTGCTCTTGGTGACGTCCTTTAGTGCTGTCTGTGTCTTTGGACTTTTTTGTTTTTGGTTGCTCTGGGTCTTCATTTTGCAGCATGCAGGCTTTAGCAGTTGTGACACATGAGCTTACTTGCCCCATGGCATGTGGGATCTTCCCGGACCAGGGATCAAACCCATGTCCCCTGCACTGGTAGGCAGATTCTTAACCACTGATCCACCAGGGAAGTCCTCTGTGTCTTTGGTCTTTAACTCAGCTTACCTCTAGCTGGGTCTTCTCTCTTGTTCTTCGTACACTCAGACATACCTGTTGGGAAATGTTATTTCCCCAGACGGGATTCATTTCTACTTCTTGGAAACTTGCCATATGCCCAGTGTTATATAATCAAGTGTCCCATTAAATCTTCAAACAACACTGCATATTCCCATTTTATAGGTGAACACATTGAGGCTCAGAGACGTTATGTAACCTGCTCAAGATCTCAGCTAGCAAGTGGTAAAAATGGACCATACCCTGTGTCTCTCCTCCACAGCCTGTACCCTTGACCAATCTGCTATACTTCCCCTCTGGAATTCTATCTGGGAGCTATACCTATGGGCTTCTTTTCCTTGAGAGCAGGACCCAGACCAAAATGAGCCAGTGAGTCTCCTGGCTATGACCATCTCTCCGTGCACATGTGCTTTTACGTCCTACATACCTGTGCCCATATCCACAGTCACAGACTTAACATCTCCTTGGAAGATGGTGAAAGGTTGTTGCTGAACCCACGAAAAGACGCCGGGATTCTTGGCCTCCGGAGGAGAAGAATTCAATCCAGGGCCAGAGACGAGGCTTGATCTCTCAGAGCTTTTGTGCAATAGAGTTTATTAAAGTATAAAAGGGATAGAGAAAGCTTCTGGCATAGATATCAGAAGGGGGCAGAAAGAATGCCCCCTTGCTAGTGTTAGCAGTGGAATTATATACTCTCAAATTAGTTATTACAGCGAATCAAAAGAATGTCTGGAGGTTGTAAAGACCTCACCAGACCTACTCCCATAATTTACATTTTGAGATAACAGAATTAGCCAGAAGGTTTTTTTTCAGAGACTGTCCTCAAGCAGGATACATTATTGTTATATAATCCTAAGGAATGTAGAGGGGAAAAGAAGTTTGTCCTTTCTTCCTCCTTGAGAATTCCAGACCCCTCTCTCCATGGGGACCCCTGGACTTCTTATCAACCTGCCTAGGAATTGACTCTCTCAATGGGGGCCATTCTGGGGCAAAGGTCCTGAAGAGAAGGATACGATGTCATCTTCATAATGACAGTTGTTTGCCTCAGCATGTCTAGGAGGAAGCTACAAGGATGAAAGCACTAGCATGGGGCGTGGAGAGAAGAGAGTTGAAAGACTAAGGTCTCAGGGTGATTGAAGGAGGTCATAGAAAATGATGGTTAAGAAATCAGAGACATACAAGGACAATAAAATATGCGGGAATGGGCCCTTGGGAAAAAAAAATCGGGTTGGTTTATATAAAACCCAGTGATTACTAAAGGAGTGGGGTGGGGGTGGGCATTGGAGGGAAGCTCAAGAGGGAGAGGATATATGTACGCATGTAGCTGATTCATGGCATTGAACAACAGAAACTAGCGCAACACTGTAGAGCAATTATACTCCAATTATAAAAAAACAAGCCCTGTCATCCAGAACCCTGGGGTTTATTCATTCATTCAGTGAACATTTATTGATGCCTATTGTATGTCTTCACATCCTAGGAGCTAGAGACTGTAAAGGTTAAAAAGACATGGCTCCTGTCCCCAAGGAGCTTGTGGTCTGCTGGAGGAAAGCGTGGCCAAGTAATTAGGGCACAATGTTATACCAGTTCTGAGAGGGAAGCATGAAAACCAAAGTTTTCTGGAAGAAGGGCCAACCCTGGAGCAACCTGTGGATGAGCAGGAGTTCTCCAGTTTGAGCGTGAGTGGAATGAGGTGGGAACAGTAACCTGAGGGAAGAAACAGATTTTGCAAAAGTATTAAGAGGAGACCAATTACTGGGGTAATTGATAAGAGATCAAGGAAGGTGATGGGGCAAGGAGAGTGACAAGACAGGTAGAAGAGAAACAGGGGAGTTTTGGTTCAGGGGTACAGTCGCTTTTAAACCATTTTGACTGCAAGCCACACTAAGAAATACATTTTCTATTTTGGCTCAGTACGATCACGCACGCACACACACATGTGCATGTGTGTATGTGTGAAACAAAGATCAACAAAGCAGTATTTCACAAAGCAACTTGCCAGTTGTTCTGCTGTGTTCTGTTCTATTTTTTTTCCCCAATGTTGGTCAGGGACGGAGTAAGCTTATCACAAAATAGTACACATGATATGATTTCATTTATATGCAATTCTGTAACAGACAAAACTAATCTACAGTGGTACAGATGAGATCAGTGGCTGTCTGGGCTGCGGATGGGGTGGGGCAAGATTAAAAGCAAAGAAGTAAAAGAGCTTCCTTAGGAGATGGAAATGTTCTGTATCTTAATTAAGGTGGTGGTTACATGGGCACATGCATTTGTCAAAAATAAATACATAAAAATAAACACATGGGAGGGAACTTTCTGGGGTTGGTGTTGACGTTCTATATCTTGATAAGGAATTTGCATGCACAGGCGAGTGCATCTGTCAAAACTTATCAAGTGGTACACTTAAGCTTTGTGTATTTCATTGTATGTAAATTTTACAAAAAAAAGAAAAAAATCATGGATGCTGAAATGTTAGGAGAAAGTAAGCTGGTGTCTGCAATCTGAAATGCATCAGAAAATAAAATAGATTGGTGGCTGGATAGAGGAATGGAAATATTTACAGGTAAATGATAAAGTAAATATAAACTGTCAATGCATGACAGGACAATTCAGTGAGGAAAAAGCCACCTTTTCATAAATGGTGCTGGAAGAACTGGGTATTCACATACAAAAGAATGAAGTTGGATCCTTACCTCACATCAGATACAAAAATAATCTTAAAACAGATTTAGGAACTTAATGTGAGAGTTAAACCGTAAGACTCTTAGAAGAATTGTTATTGTTGCTGAGTCGCTAAGTTGTATCTAACTCTTTGTGACCCCAGTGACTGTGGCCCACCAGGCTCCTCTGTCCATGGGATTCTCCAGGCAAAAATACCGGAGAGGGTTCCCGACCCAGGATCTAACCTGCGTCTCCTGCATTGGCTGGTAGATTCTTTACCACTGAGCCACCAGAATACATAGACGTAAACCTTCCTGACCTTAAATTGGGCAATGGTTTCTAAGATATGACACAAAAAAGCATAATCAACAAGAGGAAAAAAAAGTAAATTTGACATCATCAAATTTAAAAGCTTTGGGGCTTTAAAGGACACCATTAAGAAACTGAAAAGACAATCCCCAGAGTCAAAGATAATTTTTGCAAATCTTAGATCTGATAAGAGACTTGTACCTAGAATATGTAAACAACAACAAAAACTTGCACACAACAGGAAGTTTTTTCATAATTACCCAAAGGTGGAAACAGCACAATTGTTCATCGACTGATAGTGGATAAGCACAATGTAGCATATTCATGCAAGAGAATATTATTTGGGAATAGAAAGAAATGAAGTACTGATACATGCTTCAACATGGATAAACCTTGAAAATGTGCCAAGTGAAAGAAGCCACCTGTGAAGGACCATATGTTGTGGATTCTGTATATACAGAATATCCAAAAAAGGCAAACCTAAAGAGCTAGGATATAGATCCTGTTGCCCAGAGATTGGTGTGGGGATGAGAGGGCAGGATCCTATAGGTTAAAGAATACAGGGTTTCTTCTTGGGCTAATGAAAAGGTAATGAACTTGATTGTGGTGAAAGCTGCACAAATCTGTGAATACGCTAAAGTGATTAAATTATACACTTTAAATGACTGAATTGTATGGTTTTTACCTCAATAAAGCTGTTCGAACATGTTAATGTAGATATAAGTGAAACAACTGATAAATTTACAAATTGCACTTCACCAAAATGAAACATTTCTCTTCTTCAAAAGATACTACTAAGGAAATAAAGAGGCAAGCCACACACAGTGAGAAAATATCTGCAAACTGTATATCTAGTAAAGGACTGTGTCTATAATATAAAGAGCTCTAAAACTCAGTAGAAAAACAACTCAGTTTTTTAAATGGGCAAAAGACTTGAACAGACCAATACAGGTAGACATATAGCAAATAAATATATGAAAAGATGCTCAGCATCATGTCATTAGGGAACTACAAGTTAAAATCATAATGAGATACCTCAATACACACTAGAATGGCTTGTGTTTTCACATTAAATTTTAAAATAATACATCACAGTTCCATGTGCTAGTGAAACAACTGGAATTCTCACAACTTCTGGTAGAAATGCAAAATGTTACAGTCATTTGGAAAACAGTTGGGCAGTTTCTCATAAAATAAAACACACTTTATGACCCACTTTTCCACTCTGAGATATTTATCCTAGAGAGATGAAAACTCAGCCTCACACAGCAATCTGTCTGCAAATGTTTACAGTGACTTTATTTATAACCGCCAAAAACCAGATGTTCCCCAGCTGGTGAATGAATACATGAACCTTGGTTCATCCACACGATGGAATGCTATTCAACAATCAAAAGGAAGAATCTTCGGGTACACGCAACACTATGGAAAAATCTCCAAAACACGATGTATTGTGAAAGAAGCCAGACTCAAAAATGCCACCAACCATATAATTCTGTTCATATGACAGACTCCAGGGAGAGATGCTAGATCAGTGGTTGCCAGGGACCAGGTGGGAAGCAGGATCACTGCAAAACGGCAGGGGGAATTTTCTTGTGGTGAAGGCACTGCCCTGAGACATGATTGTGGTGGTGACTGCTTGACTATATTTATCAAAACTCACTGAACTGTATGGTAAAGTAGGTGAGTCTTATGGTAGGTAAACTATAACATAAAAAATTAATTTAAAAATAGTCTAAAACTTAAATAATTTTCATCTAAAAATTTTAATAGATTTAGATAGTGGAATCTGATGGTAGAAATATGTCTTTTTATATCTTTTTGGTATGTTTGAATAAGTTCATAATCAGATGTTTGGCAAAAGTCATCAAAAAGACACAAGTGACTGATAAAAATGTGTGCATGACCAAAACAAACAGACAATTAATTCCATAAAAAATAGTGAAGAATCCGCCTGCCATGCCGGGGGATCTGGGTTCCATCCTGGGTCTGAGAGAATTCCACATGCCTCGGGGCGCCTAAGAACCTGTGCCACAAATACTGATGCCTGCACGCTCTAGAGCCCGTGCTCCACAGCAAGAGAAGCCACTGCAATGAGAAGCCCAGGCACCACAGTGAAGAGTAGCCCCGCTCGCCGCAACTAGAGAAAGCCCTCGCAGCAATGAAGACCCAGCTCAGACAAAAATGAATCAGTAAAATTTTTTTAAAAGTCAGTCATGCCACCCTTCAAGTCTTAAATAATAATAAATATAATAGTGAAAGCATTAGAAGTCATGACCCAGAAAATTGACTTTATAAGCTACTGATGGGTCATGACTTTCAGTTTAAAAAAACACTACTTTAGAGCCGGTTAAGGCAGTTAATCTGAGAAGGCAATGGCAACCCACTCCAGTACTCTTGCCTGGAAAATCCCATGGACGGAGGAGCCTGGTGGGCTGCAGTCCACGGGGTCTCGAAGAGTCGGACATGACTGAGCAACTTCACTTTCACTTTTCACTTTCATGCATTGGGGAAGGAAATGGCAACCCAACTCCAGTGGTCTTGCCTGGAGAATCCCAGGGACGGGGGAGCCTGATGGGCTGCTGTCTGTGGGGTTGCACAGAGTCGGATACGACTGACGTGACTTAGCAGCAAGGCAGTTAATGGCAACCTGTTCCAGTATTCTTGCCTGGAAAATTCCATGTTCAGGCTACAGTCCATCAGGTCGCAAAGAGCCAGACACGACTGAGTGACTAACAGACACAAGGCATGCAATTTTTTTTTTTGGTATTTATTTGTTTATTTGGCTGGGTCTTAGTTGTGACACATATGCTCTGGAACGCTTGGGCTCAGTTGCCCCAAGGCATGTGGGATCTTAGTTCCCCTTCCCCAACCGGGGATCAAACGCACGTGCTCTGCATTGGAAGGCAGACTCCCAACCACAGGACCACCAGGGAAGTCTCAAGGTACTTCAGGTTCTAGTTGGAGACAGCCTGCCTGGGGAGGTCAGAGCCTCCAGAGGTAGGCTGAATAGGGCTGGTTCTCCACCCTGGGAACAGGGCTGGTGGGAGGTCCTGGGGGAGTAGATGGAGCCTGTGCTCAGCTCAGTGGGAAACGGCTGCCTGGTCTCCCAGGGACTCTGGGCCACATGAAGAATCCTGTCTCCTCCATCAGGGAGCCAGCTTGGGGGTGACAGCCGAAGGCAGCCAACATTCTGGAAGTCATCTGTGTGGATGAAAACCACAAGGCTCTCATCCCCCATATGGACCGGATTTGACCTTGGCTTTTCACTTGACTCCGGATGTGATAGAGTTCTCCCATTCCCATGGAGGTTAGCTTTCTCAACAGCCTTGCCACTGGGCATACAGGGTCGGGCTTAATTTAATTTTTTTTAGTGAAACCATGTTCAAGACAGTTGTGGTCAAGGAAAAATATGTCCCTATTACATCTGATTTTTAAGTTGGAGTTACAGTTAATATCAGCTTACGGAGGGTTTCCTGAATAAGAAAACGTTCTCCTACATAAAAGTGCAGGTTTGGAAAATTCTCATTCAAACTCGTTTCTGCAGTTTTAAGAGGTGGGCTTACCTACTCATGGTCTTGGAGATGAAGATAAAACTCCAGTGGATCAACATGTACACACTGCTTTATTTATAATGGATAATCAGGACTTCCCTGGTGGTACAGTGGATAAGAATCCACCTGCCAATGCAGGGGACATAGGTTTGATCCCTGGTCCAGGAATATTCCACATGCCAAGAAGCAATTAAGCCTGTGTGCCACAACTACTGAGCCTGCATGCTGCAACTACTGAAGCCATGTCCCTAGAGAGACCATGTTCTGCAAAAAGAGACGCCACCACAATGGGAAATCCATGCATGGCAACAAGAGACTAGCCCCCGATCACAGCAACTAGAGAAAGCCCATGAGCACCAAGGAAGACCCAGGACAACCAAAAATGAAATAAGTAAAATGGATAACCAACAAGGACCTACTGTATAGCACAGGGAACTTTGCTCAATGTGATGTGGCAGCCTGGATAGGAAGTGAGTTTGGGGGAGAATGGATACATGTATATGTATGGCTGAGTTCCTTTGCTGTCCACATAAAACTACCACAACATTGTTAATTGGCTATACTCCAATACAAAATAAAAAGTTAAAAAAAAAAAAAAAGGTAAAATCCCGATGTCTTCTTCACCAGAGTCATCACCTGACTTCAATTCCATTTGCCCGATGCTCAGAACATTGACAGTTCCGAGGAGGAGCAATGTCTTTCATACCTCTTTGACTTTACCTGGATCTTTTTCCTCTCTTGTCCCCTTGCTCAGTCATGTATGGCTCTTTGCGACCCCATGGACTGTAGCCTACCAGGCTCCTCTGTCCATGGAATTTTCCAGGCAAGAGTACTAGGTGGGTTGCCACTTCCTTTTCCAGAGGATCTTCCTGACCCAGGGATTGAACCTGGGTCTCCTGCATTGCAGGCAGATGCTTTACCATCTGAGCCCCCAGGGAAGCCCTGTTGTCCCCCTCAGTGAACCCCTGTTCATCCTTCAGTACCCTGCTTCTCCTGGGCTTCATCTGTGGAGATATTCCTGGATCCCTTCTTCCATGGCAGAGGCAGCGATTCTTTTTTTAGCATTTCCATCTATCTGTGCATGCAGTTGTAAAGTCAGGCTGACTCTCTCTTTGGAGGTACGACACAACGTGGGAATTTGTTGTTCCACAGTAAAATTAAGTCTGGTGCTAAGAGCTCATGCCCCAGACATAATAAATCACTCTAAGTAGCTGCTGTAGACTCTTTTGGTCTCCAAGGTGAGACAGAGGGTAGAGGCACGTTTGCAGTGCAGACAATTATGCAGAGGCCTCTGGGTACCACAGAGAGGCTATTGTCCAATCCTGCCCGACCCTGGAAAGTGGGTGTCCTCCCAGGTCCCCCCCAGCAGGGGGCAAGAGTGTCTGGCAGTGACTGAGTGAAGCATCCCCTCATCGCATCACATTGTCATGCCGCCTGGGATCCTGTCACCTCCCTGGGCACCTTGAGTCTGCACAGCACTGTCTGATGATTCCCAAATGGTCTCATCTCCCTTTTCCCAGTTGGGGAACTGGCTGCTTCTGCCTCTAAGCTCTTCTCTCTGATCCTTTCCTCC